TCGCCATCAATTTTGGATCCCTTGTTGTTTCCTTGCCCCTGGGGTTGTTAAAACTCACTTCCTTTCCTCCACCTCCCCCTTTCCCATGTTTCCCCAGAACTGTCAGTCCCATTGTTTTCTCCTCCAGATTGTTTATCACACCTATCGTATCTAGATAGACCTGCAGAGATAATGATAAGAACAAAAACCAAGACAGAGCAAACAAAGCAACGAAAGAAAACAAAACGAAAAAAGAAAAGCCTGTAAAAAGTTCAAGGTCTGTTTGTTGGCCTTTAGGAGTGTTTTCCAGTTGAGTCTGATGAGTGCCATGCCTTTGCCCCAAAGTCTATTTTTGGTATTTCCTCCGGACTGCCTTGCTCTGCTCCCCTTGCTGTTCTGCTGCAGGCCGTTAGTGTTTTGCCTCGGTGTGGTGGGCTCAGGTCAGGTGCAATACCCGCACTGTGTCTCCAGTGTTGTCCCCCGTAGCACCATAGGTCAGTGAGGGACGTCGTGTCTCCTAGTGGGGCCAGCCCTATGGTCCTCTCTGTGCTTTGGCTGCTCTGAGCAGGAAAATTGTCCTCAAGGCTTGGTGGGCCAGGATGTGTTCCACTCTTTCTTCCTCTCCCTTCATTTGCTCCTGTGTGCTCTGATCAGACATGTCCTTCTCCCTGAGCTGTAGCTTCAGTGCTGTCCTCTGAAGTGAATTCTTCTGCGTGGAGGGGGGCCGGGCTGTCCGTGTAGTTGGGATTGGGGCTGGCCCATCAGACCTCTCTGTTGGTTCTCTGCTTCATGCCAGTATGTTGCATTCATGTCTTGGAGCACTGGGTTTATGTCTGGTCTCTCTCTCCCTCTCCTGTGGAGATAAAAACAATACCCTCCCCTTGGGTGAGTTAATGCCCTGTTCTCCCTCTACCCATGTCTTTTTCTTTCTTTTTTTCCCACCTCTCCTTTTTTAGTGGGCTACCATATGTATCCCTGGATTTGGTCTGGCCCCTGCCATACTACCTGGACCTTACTTCAGGAATGTTTGTATACAGTAGCTTTTTCCCTATTCTCCTTTTGCATTTTTTTTTTTTT